TCTGGCACACTGTACATCTGATATAACAAGTCTTTGATTAACTTATTTGCATGACTACTAATGTCTAGCTTTGTCCCAGAGAATTAACCAATTAAAAAAAGATGGCTCTAGCATGTGTTAACAAGAAAAAGGAACCACAGGAGTGTTCTTCAGGCATTTATGCCCCTTCATAGATCAGAAGGATTACACAGATGAGTCTTTTAGTATCACCCACTCTGTCACATCATTGTCTCTACCACTCTCTTTTCACTCACAATTTTTAACCCAGCTTTGAACCTTAATCTTTGGTCCTCTAATCACATACATACTGTCCACAAGCACAAACAATTTCCTGCTGCAGCTGTACCACTAAAGCAATGAAGCCCACTAGCAACACACTACAAGACAGAGGGTATAGGACAGTGGTTCTCAACCTTTCTAATGCCGCGACCCCATAATACAGTTCCCCATGTTGTGGTGACCCCCAATCATTTATACATCACTGGGTGCCAGGGGCATGGCCAAAGAAAAGGGGGAAAAAATGGCGGACAGCCTTGTTTGGCGACCCCCGTGAAATGGTCGTTTGACCCCAAATGGGGTCCCGACCCACAGGTTGAGAACCACTGGTATAGGACCATTCAAAAGGCAAAAAAGGATAACCTGTGAGAAGAGGGATCAAAGACATTCAAGTAGGTTTAATGAGCATAGGCAAAAATCATCTCCACATCTCCATGTGAATACTGTTTCTCCTATTTCACAAAATTAGAGGCAAAGCAGAAGATATATTAACAGTTAAAAAGATCATTTTGCTACTATTCTGATAAGCAGTTGAGAGAATTCATTTAACTTACCGGTTCATATATTTCTTGTTTAATCTTGATTTAAAGCATAGTATTTGTCATTATAAATCAGTGGTGGCAAACCTATGGCACGGGTGCCAAAGGCAGCACGCAGAGCTCTCTCTGTGGGCACACGCGCCGTCGCCCCAGTCCTAGGCCTTCAGCTGGGTTTTATAAAACCTTTTCCCTTTAGGCCTCCGCTGCCGTGTGCAAAAAAAAAAAGTGTCAAGCCCCACAGGGCTTGCCATTCACGGTTGGGGGGGGTGATACACAGCTGCCAGCCACCGCCCCAATGCCGGACGCCACCACGGAGCTGGGGAGTCACCAGCACCACCCCAGTCCCAGGAAGGCGCCAGCTGATTGCCGGATACAGCCCTCCGTTTCCCTCCCTCTCTGCGGCCCGGCAGCCTGCCGCGCCCGGGACAGGAAGCTTCGAGCTGCTGACGGAACTGCGGGCTGTGGGGGGTGGCCGGTCGACAGCATACCTTCTGGGAAGACGCTCTTGCTGGGCCAGTGCAGCGGGCGGCCGGCGAAGGCCATGATCGGTCGCAAATAGCTGAGCAGCGCAGAGGGAAGCCGACTGTTCTCCGGCCTAGGAAGACGCGGGAGGTCTCCGGGGCCCAAGAAGGGGGTGTTGTCGACCAGTCAGAGCAGCACCGGCATGGAAGGGTCTGACGGCATGGAACCGAGCCTGTGCAGCCAGAATAGGACACAGCAGGGCGGGGCCGCTTCAGAGGAAGGGCGTCACCAGCCGGACGAAGCTTTTGTAATAGTCAGGCGGTTAGTGGTTAGCAGCTGGGGGTGGGGTTCGGGGGTGTGGCACAGTTATGTAAAGCACTGGGAGCAATTCTTGTTAAGGAATAAACCCTTGATTTCACTCCGTACCTGCGTTCCTGGTTTTTGCTTTCCTGGATGACAAAGGACAGTTATGACAAAAAGGTTCAATAAATCAGTTAATTTCAACTTCTTGCGGGAAAAAAAAGATCTTGCAAAGTTGGAATTGATTGATTGAACTTTTTAATCCCACCCAGTCTGTTGTTACCACTGCAGCCATGCCCACCCAACGGGCCACACCCACCCAATGGGCCACACCCATCCAGCACCTGACGATACATAAGTGGGTTTTGGGTTGCAGTTTGGGCACTCGGTCTCTAAAAGGTTCGCCATCACAGTTATAAACTATTTTTTATTCACCAAATTCAGCAAACCTAGAAAATTATGGTTTATTTAACAATTTAACACGAACTGTGAATCCAGTCAGACTTCTTTCCCAGTATAGAACTGGTACAATTCCAGATAATCACAAGGTGTTTTCTAATTTAAAAGTATACCTTGATCATAGGTATTTTCTAATTTACAGAGATATATTCATAGGTGATATATTCCAAATTACAACATAATTTTTTCTATATGACAGCAGAAAATCTGCTTCCAAGCATGCAATGTTGCAGTCATTGCAACATTAACCAATAATACAATTATCATCATGAAATAAATTCTCATTATTTCACACAAAGCCATTTTATAAATTAAACAAATACCTCTGGTCCATGTTTTGGAAGAGGTCTGATTCCCACCTAACACTGTTTTTAAATGGGATATATCAGATTTATCAGGTTTTGTACAGAATAATATATTTTATTACCGTAGCTAAAGTATTATGTTTTTGGTAAAATGCCAGTTTAGGTGTTAGGGTTAGTTTGTATGTCAAAGGAAAAAGTAAATTAATTTTCAGTTTCAAGTGTGGAATAACTATTTTAGCCTTATTGTTCACCAGTAGAGTTTGCTATTTTGTCATTTACTTATATCTTTAATGTAATACTGAAAGGATGTGGCCACTGGCAAATCCCATCTTTTAAAAATAATTAAATGGGCAATTTCAATAGAAAACATGCACAATTATTTTAAACTGAATTGATGGAGAACATACATGTCCTTTATTAAAACAAACTTTTAAAACAAGACTCCCAATGTTTACTTGATCAATCTCCACACAATCTATAGCATTACCTTGAGCAAGTTTACTCATTAGTATGCAGAAGTCTAGGCTATAGTCTCTCTCTAAGGATAGTATATGCACACTTAGTAGAGCATGAAGTCATGTAGACCTACTTTAATTCAACACACATTTCTTGATCTCTCTCTAGATTTCCAGTTAAGATGTATCAATAAGTTACCCAAATACTTTGATCCAAAGTCAATAGGATGCTTTCATGTTTCCACCTTGTTTTTAACAGAAAAGAGGGGAACCCACTCTTTTATCACATACTATAAATAGGGAACTTGAGGATTATAAATAAGCTATACTAAGCATTGCTGTCTGAATGGGATGCAATTACTTTAGTCCTTGTGGTTTTTCAATCAGCCAGTGTCCCTGCAGTGTTTAGAGTGGTAAAAGGGAAGTGGCCTGTGGTTAAACAGAGGAAATACCGGAGGAATTTTAATACAGCAAATAGTCTTTTTACTTCATACAGGATAGCACTTCAAAGGCAGCCTAGCCCCAGAGCAGACAATGTGTTACAGGGGCCATCAGTCATTTAATAGTATGGCAAGTCTATTCAAAATGTACAAACAGACCAAGACAATTGCTATGCAAACAAGGCAATTGGTTTTATTCTGAAATCAGTGCTTATGAATGTGGCCCAGACTGTAATGATGGTTTTCTCTCCCAACACAAAACGTTATAGTTTTTTAAACAACTAAAATGAATGAATTTCTAAAGTAAAGAGCAGAGAAAATTTGAGGATAACTAAAAGTAATCTTTAGGCCAGTGCAAATTAGTTTTGTTGTGATGGAATGAATTCTATTTTTTTCAGCTAAATTTAAATTGATGTGGCTTTTTTTGTCAATAGAGCAATTAATTTCATTTTTATTGGAAAATGCACCAAATCTTTGGGAAGAATTAGAGCTTCTAAGGTTCTCATGTACATATACCAAGATTTTAAGATGTTCAAATCAATTATTAACTTTGGCAAGTTGTCCCTGTAAAGGTTTAGTTCCTTTCATATAGCTATATATTTATTTTTACAGAGAATTTCCCTTCCAGGTATGAACACAATTAATCCATGCCAGTGGGTCACTTCCTTTGTTTTCTTACAACTTATCTTACAATTTATCTCTCCAATTTAGACTCTGGGTGGTGTATAACAGAACTTAACAGTCAATAAATACCTTAAAAACCATTATTATAATTATTAAAAACATTAAAACCATAAAAGACTATAAAAACAAAGCAAGAACAAAGAAACAGCATTAGAATGGATATTAATAATACCCGAGCCACTTCATAGTTCACCAGTCTCCTAGACCCTCCAACCCCCACCCCTCTTCATGACCTGATCCCCAGGAAATCTTTGTGGCAGTTTAACAAACCAACAAAAAAAGTAATGAAAGTCACTGGTGCCAGTCATCTGGAATTTTTAATAAAGCTGAAAACTGAGAGGAGCAGTTTCAGAGGAAAGGGATCTTTGTTTTTTGTTTCTCACACACACACACACACACACACACACACAGGCTCACACCAAGGAAAATCACACTCAGGGAACCCAAGAGGGAAACTGCAACTTCTGGAAGAGACAAAAGGTGAAGCCCTAAAACTTTTTTTTAATCAACTTACTAACACTCCCAGTTAGTTAGTCTTTCCCGGTAACGATCAGGCTTGTAACCAAACTGGCCTAGAGTGATTAGAATGACAAAGGCCAAGCAATCGCCTTTTATCCTCTTCTCCCGGGGCAGGTCGAGTTAAGGCGGGAGAAGAATTATGCAGACAGGCGGATAAAAGACCTGTGGAGCTACTTCACGCTTGTTGCTCCGTCCCTCTCCGTTGCCCCGTCCCTCCTTCCTTCCCAGCCTCCTTTGATGCGAAAATGCAGTCAGGCTCCGTCGCCAACCTTCCCCAAAGCTTACAAATGCCAGCTGGCCCTCTTGTTTGCTAGATAGGGAAGGAAGGAAGGAAGGAGGAAGGAAGGGAGGAAGGGTCAGCCTTGCTTGCATAGCAAAGCGGGCGCATTCCTGCCATCACCCGGCTGTCGGTGCCCCGAAGCGTTTGAACTCGAAAGGTATCTGGCACCTCGCAAACTTGGTGCCTTTTCCTGCCTTCGGTCAGAATAAACGGAACCTGGACCCAAACAGACCGGGATCAAATCCAACCCTGGGCAAACCCAAACCGCCGGTCTGTCTTACCATCCAGCCGCAAGCATCGCCCGCGGATCCTTTCCTGCCACCGCCGCTGCTACTGGTCCCTCCTGCGGACACGGCCAGACGCGGGCCATCGAGGCAGGCCGTGAGAGAGAAGAAGAAAGAGCAGAACTTGAGCCAAAGGGCCATCGCCTGCCTGGTAGAGTCCGAAGAGCAAGTCGGACCGCCAGAAGTTAACTTCAGATGGGGGAAAACCAGGAGGGAAGGGAGAAAGCAACGGCACGCATGCGCGACGGAGAATCCACCAAGACGTTCCTCCAGGGAACTCCTGCTTTCCTCTAGTTTAGCCCACCCACTCACACCTTGCTGACGGGGGAAGTAGGGAGAGGCTGGACCACCATTGCCATTTGTCTAGGTGCGGGAGAGGTCAGTTGGTACTCTCCTTCGAAGACGTTATTTTTTTAATTCAAAACAGCTGAAATGCTGTAAATCTGCGCAGAACGTCTTCAAAGGAAGACCTCGGGGGGGGGGGAATGGTCAACCACCATCTGTCTCTCAAAAAGGAAGTTGAAGGAAGGGGAGGTGGGAGATGTATTCTATTCAAATGTGCAAACGTTTATACCAATCTGGGGCAAGAAGTAGCAAAGTAACAAAAGCTAACCTCTCTTGGGTGGAGGGGAAAGAGACTGCATTTGAAAAATCCGGAGGCTTTCTCCTAAAATTATTTCATGCCAGCATAGGATTTGCTTCTACGTTTTAGCGTTTTCTGGTGCTAATATATAAACATGTAAACCAGACTGCAGCACAGTCTTTTTAAATATCAGCATGACTTTACAAAGCCTGTTTCACCCTTCCTCAATTTGATGCTTTCCTGATATCTTCCCATTGCTGGCCTCCCAGTGATGGGAATCATAGAGAAACATAAGATGTAGGAGGGACCCTTGTTCTACATACAAGTCAAAAAGAGACCAGATTCAACAGCTGTAAATAGTCCTTTGTAAATATAAAGCCATCTTGTTCAGTTTTGGAAACCTTAAAAGTGTGCTTTATAATTCCTATTATCCAAAATTATCTTGCCTAGCCAGAATAGTATCAAATTTATCTAGGGTGTGATGGAGGGTGGGGAGGGAATTATAATCCATGATCCAGTTTTGTTATCCATTTACACTAGACTAGTCTGTTTTTGGGAGAAACTTCATTTACATCTTTCCAGCCCACTCCTCCCAAAATATGTGCATTAATAGAAAATCTATTTGGTGTATTTCACCATAAACTAAGCATCTTCACAAATAAGGCATTTTTAAATATTAAAAATGGGATTATCTTCCTTATCAGCTGATGCTTTGTGCAAGGCATTGTGGCATGTGAATGGCTTGCAAGGAAATAATCAAATCCCTTGGCTCTGGTCTTTTCACAGACATCTGAGTTGTATTCATATAAACACTTCTAAAAAGTCAGCAGTCTTGTGTACCATCTCTTGCAGAGATATTAAGATATATTATGGACTATGTATCAAAAGAATTACAATATCCCCATGATAGAGATTTATGCCTAAATCTGCCTAAAGCAAATATGGGATGATTGTCTTGGATTATGTATCCCATTCAGGTTAAATGTTTGTATTTAAAAAGGAGGACAAGGAGAAAAAAGTAAATCCAAATATATTCAGCCATTCCTAATTGGTCCAGCATGGACCAATCAAACATTTTCTGTAAGATCAGCTAAAATGTTGCAGGTTTCATTTTGTACAATTACACAGTACTTGTTAACTTCCATTGCACAACCACACATCCCATTCCAATGTTGAACCAGAGGAGTTGTGCATAGGATTGCTGCCTCAGACATACCCTCTTAGCTGTTAGAATTTGATGAAAATGCTTCAGCCTTGCTGGCCCTGGCCAGATGGACAGGAAGGCACAAATTGAAAAACAATTAGTAGGTGAGAACTTTTAGTATACATTCCAATAAAACCTAGTGAAAGTCTGGTAGCACCTTTCCTGACTAACATTTGGTGAAATTTACTGCAGTTTACAAAAGCGTTTGCTTTTTAAACATTGGTTGCAATTTAAAATTTAAATTTAAAAACTAATTTAAAATTTGCTAATCAGAAAAATGCTACCACATTCCCTCTGATTTTTTTCCATCATAGATCAACATAGCTCTCCTACAATAGCACCTAAAAATACAGTGGACTCACATCTTGGCTCTAGGGAAGCTTTTCACCCAAGCATGAAAAGTACAGAAAATAGTTAATATTTTATTGAAGTTCCATATCTCATCCTTTGGCAATGTGTTCATAGCTGTGCCTTATGAACACATCCAACAATACTGATGTATTTATATCTCTGTGTTTTATTTCTCAGTAGAAAATCAAACAGCAAAATAAATCATGGTGTAAAATGCTGCAATTTTGTGACAAGTGGAGTTTCTGATCAGTTCTATCTTTCTTCACAATAGTCTTTTGCTGCTGAATAAAAATGAATACCCTTGACTTGGAGCTCATTCAAAAGTCATGGCTATCAGTCTAATGAGCTCTACAGATGGTTTTAGTTGCCTTTACCTCCTTGCTTCCAGCTAAAAACTTCCTTTGCTTCTGCAACAGCTGCTTCCAGATGGAAGAAGACATGCAGAGCACAATGACTCCCCTAAGGAAAAGTGAAAATAACAGCAGTAGAACGGATAATTTTGCAACGCGAGCTGCTGTTTTCCATCAGTTTTTCTATTATTTAGCAAAGTAAAAGCCATTTTTTAAAAAAATGCAGCAATACATTACTCTATACATGTGTGTTTTATCTATGTGGTTTATATGTATCAATATGTGTGTGTGTATATATGTGTGTATGTATATATGTGTATGGTTATGTGTGTGTGTGTATATATATATAGAGAGAGGGGGGGGGGGAGAGAGAGAGAGAGAGATGTCTACATATCCAAAACCTCTGTGTCTGGTGCTGGTGAAGAATGTCATGAATTCCACCATGCTGGGACCAGTGCCTGGGAGGGTCTGGATTGTAAAAGTGATTTTGAAGTAAGCTACAGCCTTAAATCTCACTTACAGAAGATAAACTTTCATGATTCCAGAGGGATTTTTTATGAAAATGTTTTTAGAATTTAGACTATTATCATAAGCTACTTATTTCATTGTAATTCTTGTTGAAATCAATTGCGCTTGCTTTTGAGTAAGAAAGCGGGGGGGGGGGCTGTTAGTTGGATCAGAAAATAACCACATTTCACCAAATGTGCATGCTGCTCATTCCTACCTGCATGCCTGCTCCCAGAATTTAAAAATAATCCTTTTTTAAAAAATACTTAGTACTATTTCCCTTCAAATTACACCTTCTTTAATAAGAGAAAAGGGAAATTTCTGGTTAAATGACAAATCACTAAGAGTGAGTTGGGCAGCCATATACATTCTATAAATAAACAAACAAACACCCATCTTGAAATTATTATTATTCCTCTTCCATCAGATGTTTTATATTCTGTATAGAGGTAAACACACTTAAAAATAACTGGAACCATTGTTCAAAAATATCCTTCAATGTATCCAATGTTAAAATATTTTGCTCCATTCTGTATTAGTAAGTCAAATTTAATTGTTATTCTCCTTTAATTGAAATATTTAGTTCCTTCTAGTTCCCTCTAGTGTCCAATCTTCAAAATTCCATCCAATAATATTTTTTTAAAAAAAGAATTCAAAACAAATGCATTTTCCTATATAAAATATTCTTATAATTAATTCCCAAATCTTATTTCAAATCCAACTGGACCCTTAGTTCTTTTGTAACTTTCCAAAGTGCCCTCTCTCCCCCCTCCCCCCCCTCTCTAAGTTTATAAATTTAAGTGTGTGTGTCCTTTAACTTGTAACTTGTATTTAAAGCTTCTTCCTCTAAGAACTGAAGGAAAATCACTATTGTTTTCAGATTTGTAGATCCAAAGATTTCTAATAGCTGAAGAATAATTAACAAGCAGTTTCTGAAAAATAATTAGAAAAGGAACCATGCAAATCCGGTGTTCTTTTAAAGACCATGACCTTGGTTTGAGCAAAATAACTACTTTCTCATCAGACCTCTAAACCTGCCAGAGACTGCTGTCTTGTAGTTTCCTCATGAAGAACATCTGCCTCAAGCATTTGTGGGCAATCTCAAGTCCTCCCCCTGTCCAGAGAGGAATTATGGAAAGCCAGTCTATTTTCTGTTTCTTCTTTCTACTGTGGTCATGTTCTCTGCTTTTAGCAGAGTTGCCTTCTATTTGTCATTTTTTTCCCCAGAAAGTAGGCAAAATAGTTATGCTTTCTGGATTTTGGGAAATGTGAGTGTTGTTGAGCTCATTAAATGTGAGCTACCCAGTACTGATACAATCTGATGGAATGGGCTGGTTGGAGCTTTCAAAAGGTGACAGATTTTAGAATTTCAGGATACACAGTTTTCTTAAAACCCCAAATGCAACTTTGTGCAAAATATATACACTCAAATAGTTTTAAAGCCAAGCATTTGTTTTGACTACCAAAGTAAATGGAGCTTGCAGTCTTCACATACAAGTCCAGTTTAGGTTACTCTGAGCTTTCTTTTTCACAACATGGGAGAGGCATAATGTTGATGCTACTGATGCTAAACAACCAGGGAAAGAAGTCATCTGACTTTGCTAATTCACCATAAACTACTTAGAGGTCTTCATAACACACTAAATGAGAGACTTACCAGAACTCCAGATGTCCTTATACCTACTCCAGCTTTACACTGTTTATTGATAGAGATAAGATTGTTCAGATTTTACTAGGGAAGGATGGCATAAAAGTCTCCTTATATGGTGTAACAGCAAAGTCTGAGCCATTTCTTTAAAGGTATGAGAGGGTTTCAGTCCTCTTTGTTTTTTTCTTATCTTTTTTCCTATTCTGGCTAACTTTTCTGCTTTGATACAGTTTGTTCATTATTTACTATTGTCACTATCTATTGTAGGGAGATGAAAATGTTTTCTTACTCTAAACCCAGACTTGTGAGAGAGGTTGAGTGATTGACATTCTAAGTACTTACTTACTAGAGATGATGATGATAAAGAACATGATGATGAAACCTAGGTGGTCGCAATGAAGTTGGTGAAATGAAACCATTGGGACAAACTAGTGGGGGTTTGCTAGGAGAAACAATTTGCCATAAGAAACAAGAACATAAATTAGATGCTAGAGATCTGGTGGCCCAAAGTTTTTAATCAGCTGTAGCCACTGAGAAAAAAAATGTAACCATAAACAAGGCAGAAATAATGTGATTGGGTCAGAATGAGATGCAGGGTTCTTAATAAACCAAATAGAGCCTATAAGGAACTCAGAATTGGGATCATCTGACTGGAAGAGGAGGTCATCCTGAAGAAGTGAGAAGAAAAACAGTCTGGAAAAAAAGAGAGTGCAGTTGTGGGGTGC